TAGTTACGATTTTTCTTTCGAAGTCGAGTGAGAATATGTGGTAAATGTCGACTAAAAGGTTTACTGATTGATTGCAATTCTAATTTTCCTTTTCCATACTGTTTTGTGACACGTTTGAAAACACTAAGATATGACTTATCATCACCATGTACGAGTAATACAAAGGCAAACTTGGGTATCAACTCTTGAAGAAACGATAAAAGCTCTGAACTAGACGAATCATTGCTTTGTGGGCAATATGATGGACAAAGATGCACATGAGAATACTCTCTAAAAGTCCACTTGAGGTTTTCATACACAAGAAGTTTAAGATCATTCCAAAATATGCAGAATTCGCAATTTGATGGAATTTGAGGGAGATATTTTTCATGATCTTTGAAAAGATTGAGTCGATCATCGTCACAATGAAATAACACGAGCTGGTGATAGGTTGATAAAACTGGCATTATAAACCTCTAGAAATCAATATGAAGTTGTTTATATACTAAAACGAATATAAATGAAAAACGAAACGTGCTTTGAAACACATCTTGTTGATTGCTTCTAGAATAGGCACGAATGTGGATGTGGATGGTAAGAGCACTAACAAACATAGTCACACCCATATCCACATCCCGAAATATTCTTATTTGGACTTCGTCTTCTTTATTTAAGTTACCCTTACTTATAGATTTAGTACCTATGTTAGTTATGCCGCAGACAAAAACCAATGATGTTTGAGGTCGAGAAGTATCGAAACTAACATTATTGCTGATACACCCAATGAATTCGTTGCCACAAGGATCCCATTGAATTCGAATACAAGATAGCTCCCAGAAATATTTTATTAAAAGCTCCAAATTACGATGGCTTACATGGATTCTTCTGCTTTTTGTTTATGGTAGTCTGTATCTTAAATGTAGATAAAATACATTGGTCTTGAAATTGCAACATTTTACCATCACTGATTAGGACAAGAATCACCAAAACTCAAAATGTACTCTATCGAGGTAAAAGCTAGCTACACTAACATAAAAAAATCAGTTTTACATTTTCTTTCAGAGAGAGTGCATCCAATTCTGTGATGTTGAACATTGCAGAATCAGTATATCATAGATAAATTTCGATCTATCACACGCTCCATTCGATTCAATTTCACCCCGGAATCAATGGAAGTTCTTAGAAATTTCTAGGAATTTCGTCTAATTCCGTAGTTATAACATCTTAGATAAACTTCTATCTATCATTCTTCTCCATTCGACTCAATACTGCCATATAATTTTGGGAGCCAAGTCAGGACGGAGTTTACCAGAATTCTCTGAAGTCCCTAGGAATTCTTTCCGATTCGGAAGTTCTGTTCAATTCCGTCTTGACTCAAAACCCGAAATTCCGTGGTGGTATTGAATCGAAAGAAGGGGAGTGATAGATAGCATTTTATTTAAGGTGTTATGATTCTGGAATCTGCAGCAAGTCCGGAATCGGAAGGAATTCCGTTCTATCCCATCTTTACCCATTTCTCGCAACTCCATGACAGAATGTAGTTGAATGAAGAAGAGTGACAGAAAGAAGCCTATCTATTGTATTGTAATTCCGAAATTTCTAGGAACTTCGCCCAGTTCCGGAATGACAATATCTTAGATAAACTTCTATCTATCGCTCTCCTTCATTGGATGGAATTTCTTTCAATTTCTGCATCACTATATATTAAATAAACAAGGGTGTGGTTGTGGGTATGAATCGTTTCCTACCATTCGCATCCACACCCACATCTCAAATACAGGAATTCCCAGAATCGGTAGAGTTGATTTTAGAATCAGACGAATTCAAGTTTGATCGAATTGCAGAATTCTAGTAATTCATGAGATTGATTCTTAGGGCGAAACTGATTTCGCAATGTGCAGCATTGTGAAATAATATGACTGCTCCTTTCAAAACCAATAAAGCCCTCCCCCCCAAAATAGACGGCCACCCTATATTAGAAGGCCACCCCCTGTATAAGGCCATGTCCAAGCAAAAGTTCAAACGCTCTATTAGAAGGCCATTTACTAATTAATTAATATATTCCAAAATTATCGAAGTTTTTATAAATATTAATTAATAATTAAGGAAATATAACCGATTTTCTAATGTTTTTTTGCGAAATCCTTCCTTTCCTATCATAAATAGTACAATTTTTACAAAAGATGGTAGTTTTTTCAGCAAAAATCACCTAAATAGCAATAATTAAAGTTATTAATTAATTATTAATTTTTTAAATAATTTTAATTAAAAACTGGCCAAAAATTGACCCCCAATAGAAGGCCATCCAAAACGTAGCGATGTGCCAAGACACTGTATAAGGGCATGCCCTTTTATT